GACATAGTTGCTGTCAACCCCGAAGCACGAGCACTTTACTTTGATATCTGGATCATTGGCGATGCTGCACGGGAGTTTCCTCAGGACTCGTGGGAGCAGCACAGAGCTCTCAAGGTTGCCACCGATGTCATTGACGCCTTTGAGCTCGGCAACAAGGAATCGATCGTAAAGTGTCGAAAGATTGCTCAGGAGTACCTTGGTTCGAATGTCGACTCGCACAAGGTCTACAGCGATGACAAAGAGCCTCAAGTCTACGGCATTGGCCATTGTCATATCGATAGTTGTTGGCTCTGGCCTTGGGCTGAGACCAAGCGCAAAGTCGTCAGGTCTTGGTCTAACCAGTGCGATTTGATGGATCGATACCCAGAGCTGAACTTTGCTTGTTCGCAAGCCCAGCAATACAAATGGTTGAAGGAGTTGTACCCCTACGCCTTTGATCGTGTCAAGACGAAGGTCAAGGAGGGCCGATTCCATCCTATCGGAGGCAGCTGGGTCGAGCACGACACCAACATGCCCAGTGGAGAGTCTCTTGTGCGACAATTCCTGTACGGACAGAGATTTTTTGAGAGCAACTTTGGCGAGCGTTGCCAGACCTTCTGGCTTCCCGACACCTTTGGATACGCTGCTCAGCTTCCACAGCTGTGCCGACTTGCTGGCATGAATCGCTTCCTCACCCAGAAGCTCAGCTGGAACAACATCAACAACTTCCCACACACCACCTTCAACTGGGTTGCTCTTGATGGTAGCCAAGTAATCTGCCACATGCCACCATCAGAGACCTATACTGCCGAAGCACACTTTGGCGACGTGAAGCGCAGTGTCAGCCAGCACAAGTCGATGGACCAGGACCACACCTCCTTGCTTGTATTCGGAAAGGGCGATGGTGGCGGCGGCCCTACTTGGCAGCATCTCGAAAAGCTCCGCCGGTGTCGCGGTATCTCCGATCAGATTGGCATGCTGCCTAGAGTGCAGATGGGCAACAGCGTCGATGACTTCTTCGACAAGCTGCAGCCGAAAGCCACAGAGTTTGTCACCTGGTACGGCGAGCTCTATTTCGAGCTTCATCGTGGTACATACACCACGCAGGCGAACAACAAGCTCAACAACCGCAAGTCGGAGGTCCTGCTCAGGGAAGTTGAACTGCTTGCCACCATTGCGACGCTTAGTGATACCAGCAAGAGCTACAAGTATCCCAAGAAGGAAATTGACGATATGTGGGAGGCTGTTCTGCTCTGCCAATTCCACGATTGTCTTCCGGGTAGCTCCATCGAGATGTGTTACGATGATTCAGACGAGGTAAGTCTCGACACAGCGGATTTCACCTGAACTATTGCTGACTAGATTGGCTAGCTCTATGACATGGTCTTCAAGACGGGCAAGAAGATTCTTGAAGATATCCACAGTGTCTTTGGAGCGTCCGCCGCCACCACCGGCCGTCTTAGTGAGACGGTTGCCCTGAATACTCTCCCTTGGCACCGCAAGGAGGTTGTCGAAATATCCGAGACCGAAGCGGGTGTTGCCTGCGGCGAGGGCCAGTTGTTGACCATTCGTCCCTTCAAGATTTCTGAAGAAGAACCAGCTGTTACGATTGAAGAAGTTAGCAGCGGCGTCTTTGTGTTACAAAACGACCAGCTCAAGGTCAAGGTCCAGAATGGCACCATTACATCCCTCTACGACCGCAATGCCGATCGCGAGGTGATCGCAAAGGGAGGCAAGGCCAATCAGTATGTCATTTTTGATGACAAGCCTCTCTACTGGCAAGCTTGGGATGTCGAGGTGTACCATCTCGACACTCGAAAGGAGCTCCCGAGTGGCACAACGTCAATTACTGAGCAAAAGGCCCATCGCGTCAGCTTGACTACTCAGATCAAGATCAGCGAAGAAAGTTCGATCAAGTCCACTATTTCTCTCTCCGCCGCCCTCAAGGGGCAACAGTCATGGGTTGAGTGCAGTGCTGAAGTTGACTGGCACGAGACTATGAAGTTCCTCAAGGTCGAATTCCCCGTGGATGTCAGAAATACCGAGGCCTCTTACGAAACAGCGTATGGTCTTGTGAAGCGACCTACTCACTACAACACTAGGTATGCTTTTTCCAACATGTCATGACAGAGCTATTGCTAATGAATTGTACAGCTGGGACATGGCCAAGTTCGAGGTCTGCTGCCACCGTTTCGCCGATCTCTCTGAGCACAACTACGGAGTTTCTATCCTTAACGATAGCAAGTACGGCTTCGCCACTGTCGGTAACCTGCAGCGCCTCTCTCTTCTTCGGTCTCCCAAGGCTCCTGATGCTCACGCTGACATGGGAACGCACCAAATTCGCTGGGCGATCTTCCCTCACGAAGGAACACTGAGCTCCTCCACTGTACGGGCAGCCTACGCCTTCAACAGCCCTCTGAAGCTACTCTCTGCGCCCAGCGCCGTGCAGGCATCTCTCAACAAGAGCCCTGTGAAGCTCACTGGGGATGGCTCCCTAATCCTCGATACCGTCAAGCGTGGCGAGGACGACGAGGATGTAACGCGTGGCGAGCTCCCCAAGCGCAAGGGCCGCAACGTTATTCTTCGCGTTTACGACAGTCTCGGCGGCCAAAGCAAGGGTGTCATTGAGACGACTTGGGACGTCAAGCGCGTTTTCAAGTGCAACCTTTTGGAGGACGACATTGAGGAAATCAAGATTGACGGTGGAAAGTTCTCGATTACTCTGCGACCCTTCGAGATCGCAACATACCGCCTCGAGTTGTAGGACGAAGATTTGAGCGACTGCGGTCTCGATCACGAGTGTCCCTCGGATGAGGATGAGTATGACGAGGTGAACGAACAGCTCGCCTCCACCTTGAGCGAGATCTTGGACCACGAATATGTACACTTGGGCTAGGAGGCGCTGCGATGGATAATGAAGGCTTTTAGTAGGCGCCTGGGACGTGAATGCCTGTACTTCAGAAAACTCTTAAAAAAACCCCAAAAAACCCCAGAATATCTCTCTAGCTCCTTTGCCTACATACGCCCTCCCTAGAACGCCGTGGTGACATGAAGCCCATCGAATCTTCCTTGGGAATAGTAGAAAGATGAAACATCGTTATACAATACATCACTCTTTGCGCAAGCCTCTTGGTTTCGTTCGTCCTTTGAGTCCGTCTACCTCATTCACAGCGACCCCTCTTGAGGCAGGTCTTCAATGACGCTCTCCACCAGGTCAATGAGCTCGTCAATGTCTGGCCTCTCAGTAGGCTCGACATTGAGACATTTCCTCACGACATCGCGAATGGGCTCGCTGATCTTGACTTCTCCGGCTCCCGCACCGGCGTCCGCCGTGGCGGCCGCTTTGCCCTTCATGCCGCCGCTGGTTCCCGTGCGCTTGATGCCCTCGTCGGGGAAGCGCCAGTCGCCGCCGAGGACGCACATGCTGAGGGAGCCGCCCGTCTCGTCGGAGCGGGCCTCAAAGGGGGACTTGCCGACGAGGCAGGCGTAGAGGGTGCAGCCCATGGACCAGATGTCGACTTTTGTGTCGATGACGGTCCCCGTGCGGACGTCGAAGAGTTCGGGGGCGCGGTAGGGCATCGTGCTGTGCTCGGCGGCCGTGTCCTGGACGGCGATGGCGAGGGAGTGGGACGTTATCGGGATCGGGGAGGGGGCGATGGAGCCCAGGTCCATTAGGATTGGGTTTGAGCCCGAGTCGTCAATCATGATGTTGCCTGTTTTTTGGTCGCAACGTTAGTCTTGGGCGTCTGTCTTTCTGAAGAGCAAACGAGGGCGATTAGGGATTAGGGAGCAACGAACCTGGCTTAATATCCCGATGCGCGTACGACTTTACGTCCCCGGACCCGGGCGTCTCGCCCTCCATCAGCGGCCTCTGCTGCTCGTTCTCGTCCTCTTCGTCTGCGCCCGCGGCGGCCGCCATACTGGAGACGCGCTTCCCGCCCTTGTTCTTCTTCCCGCTCTTCTTGCGCTTCGGCCCGGCGCCCTGATCGTCTTCGTCGCCGTTGCCCATCTCCATCCTCTCCATTGCGGCGGGCTGTGACGAGGATTGCCCGCCACCGCCGGTGTAGTGATGCATCTCCCTGAGCGCCTTGCACACCCCGAGAAACAAGAGCATGAGCCTGCGCTCGGGGAAGGCAGTGTGGTTTACGAGGTTGGCGTTGATGAGGTCCTGGAGGTTGCCGCGGCGGTAGTAGGGGAGGAGGACGTAGACCGTCTTGGAGCCGGGCTCGCCGCCGCGCTCGGTGGCGATGGCGTGGTCGACACCGTGGATGATGCCCGGGCTGCGGGCGAAGAGGCGGTAGGCGTCGACCTCCTTCATGGCCTGGGCGACCGACTCTGCGCCAAAGGGGCATCGGATCTTTTTGAGGGCGAATTCTTCGGCGGTTTGGGTGTCTTGGACGAGGTAGACGTAGGAGAAGCCGCCCTGTGTGTTTTCGCAATGATTAGTACATGTTCCAATTCGTCAAGCGTGGAAAAGAGGAGAGCGCGAAGGAAGCTTACCTCGCCCAGCAGGCGGAGGATCTTGAAGCTCCGACTGTTGATCTTGAGTGTCGGCGAGCCGGGGAAGCAGTTGAGGCAGTTGCCAAAGGAGTAGAGCACGTCGAGGAATATTTGCGCCATCTTGAAGGGCGGATGTGTATTGATTGCGTAAAGACGACTTGGGGGGTTCAACCCGGTACGATACGGTAGTCTAGGGGATTGTCGTCGAGTTCGTGTATGGTAGACGTTGAAGCGCTGGTGTTGCAGACCAAAGAGATTCCGTAGTCGTCCGTTCTTGGTCGGCGTATTGGTGATCAGACACGTTGAGAAGAGAAAGCGTATTCTCTACCCGGAATTGGAGGTCCGTGACGAATGAGGTCGGGAGAAAAGTGTCGTTAAGCAAGTCTCGCGATTGAACTACGCGGACAACAATTGAAATGACAAAAAGAGGCCCAACGGGGTCGAATGCTGTAAGATCGTGTGATATTGCGTTGGCGCGCGATTGAAGAAACAAGAATCAGGACAGCTAATAGCTTGCCCGCTTACTTGCTGCTATGCTGTGTGCTGTGCCACTGCTTGCTTGCTTTCCCCCCGGTAACCAAAGTGGGCAGGAAGCTGACGGGTTGACGGGGACGCTGACGCAGGTCCGTAGTGCTGCGGTACGGTCCACGTCCCAGTAGTGCGCTTCCTAGGATCCGCTTTCGGGGAACGCGGGACTCGGGAGGGCCGTTGTAGAGTCTACAATCGAGTATGTAGATGTTCTAGTGTATAGTCGCCGGGAAAGAATGCGATTATTCTGTGCTTGCCGCAAGCAATTGTTAGGGACGAGATCACTATTCTCAATGGGAAATTAAAGGGAAAAAATACGACGAAAACTTTGACATGATCTGAGGCGACTTCTTCAAGGGGATAGACACATCAGACCAACAACGGAGTATGTACCTCACCAGACGTGCCTGGCACCCAATACCCAGCTCTGGGCTGCGCCCTGCTGAGGATTTGAGGTACGAATCCCCCGTCGTGCGCAAAGGCCGTGAAACGTCACCAGGGACCCTCTGAGGTGGAGAAACGTGGAAGGGCACACACTGGAGAGTGGCATTGAACACCAGAGGCCCCCGGCCGGCAGCGACGGGAAGACCCTTGTCGTCTGAATGCAGCCCGTCCTCTAGGAACATTTGATGATATTGACTTCTCGACCGAAGAGCTTCACAGCCCACGAGAATCTCCCGTCGATTCAGGGGTGTCTGCAATGGATTCATTATTCATGTTTTGAAGGTCTACTACTACTAGTATTATAGAAACCTCTCGGGGTGAACTGAATGTCAACAAAGCAAGCCAATGACCTCATGCCACCATCCCCTGCTGTCGGTTGACTTCAACATGCGAAACCAACTCCGCGAAACACAATTCTCATCGAGCTGTGGTATCATCGCTACAAATGCTGTCAAGAACGAAAAACTTCCATCGCTCTAGCCGCCCTTGAATCCTACACAAAATGGGATATACCGCACTCTGACATTGAAAGACCGGCCAAGACAAGCACACCAGAGTGGCCAGGCCCTTCTTTTCAACCCAAAACAACGCTTGCTGTCGAGATTCAAAGTCCATCCGCCTAGAATGCATCTTCGAATGGACAATCGACGCTTTCGTGTCCATCTCTCTCACATAGGGCACACCACTTGGAGACGTCGACAATTCCGCTCTCCTTTCCAGCCACAGGGCCGGAATCCATCGGATTTGGGAAGATCTTGACGGTCGGCGGAGGAGCAAGCGGCTTAGACTTGATTGGCGATAGAGGAGCCGGTTTGTCTTCGGCGGGGATGGGCTTCAGTTCCTCCTTGATGGCCTTGCCGGCATCGCCGTTGGTCTTGCCACCCTCGTTGCCAAACATATTGGTGCAAGTAAGGATATCGTGTCCGCCAGTCTCGCAAATTTCGCACCAAAGGGTACTATTATCCGTGACTGATGAGTAGGCGTCACTTTCGGGCATCGTGTCCAGTGTACGAACACGCTTGTGCGTCGTCGTGGGAGACTGAGGCTCGCTGTTGCGCATCAAGATGACGGTATCTCGAGAATCGCGCAATGAAGAACGCTGCGCACCGCCGTTGGCCAGAGGTCCGGTGAGCTGAGTCGTGACGCTTCCCCTACGAAGTCTCTCCACTTCCCGCTCGAGCTCCTCCTCGCGACGGCTCTTGTCTTTCACGACATCATTGAGCTCTGCCAACTCGAGCTCCAGCCTTTCACGAGCCACTGCGTTCTCGCGTACGGAGGGGTCCTCAGCTTTGTCGGCCCCAGGAACAGAATCGCGACTGAGAGAGTGGATGATCGCCTTAAGACCCCGAATCTCATCTTCCTTCTGCTCCAATTCCTTGGAAATGGAGCCACGGTCTCCGTTGCTTGGACCTGTGGTGCCGTTCATTCCGGCTGATGCCTTTTCGCGCTCCCTGCGCAGCTCAGTTCGTGTACGCTCGACTTCACCACGGAGGAATTCGACCTCCCCTCTTGCTTCCGCTTCACCGCGTCGTGCGTCCTCGAGACCCTCTTCGAGCTCTTGAACCAACTCCTCAAGCTGCTTCAACTGACGAGCAACCGAATCTACGTCATCCGTCCGCGATTCGAGCTCACGCATTTCCATCATCAACTCATCGATGCGCTTTTCGTATACTCGTTCGGTTTCGGAACTAGCCATTTCGAGGGTGTCGATGGTGCTTCGGAAGTCGGCTCGGTGTGCGTCGAACTCGGCAGTGAGCATCGCAATCTTCTCATTCTTTTCTCTGACCAATGCGCGAAGTTGCATCGAGTCCTTATCGTCGAGACTGTTGCGCTTGGGTGCTGACAGATCCGAACTCTCCATAAGAGTCTGAAGCTCGGTCAAACTGCTTTCCATCTCTGCCAACGTAGATGCTTGATCCCTCAACTGCCTTTCACGGTCGTCCAGTTGTGCTCTAAGCCGATCAACCTCGTCGTCGTTCTGAGCTCGTGACGCGGCCCTTGAGCCGGCTCCAGCCCGCGACGGTACTCTGAACTTGGAGCTGTAGGAAGATACCGAATTGGTGCTCCCATTGGTCTGTGTTCGCTGCAGAGTGGCTGGTGGCTGGGGCATCGGCTCTTCGTCAAACATTGACGTTTGGCCAAGGGCAGAGGCACTGCGCGGACCAACACTTGGCTTCCTATCTAATCGTGAACCTTTGCTCGGGTCTCCAGCCGTTCCACGAACGCTCTGCGCGAAGCGATTCGGGGCAGGAGAGCTGTATTTGGAAGGCACCTTTCCGGGTGTCGCCAGTGATGGTCTCGGTCCTGGGGTCATCTGTAATTTTCGTACAGGCGACTCCGGGCGTACAGAGGGCCTGCTCATCGACTTCTTCAGTTGAGGACTGACTGATCGGCCGGGGGCAATGCCAGGGCCAACAGATTTGCTGAATAGCGGCACTGACGGCGTCGGAGGTGTGTTCGTGGAGTTCTGCGTGCCGACCTTGAGACCGCCCATGGTGCTGGCAGTGGGAGTGTGAGGAAACGAGCTGGAAGACGAGCCAGGAGGAGAGTCTCGTCTCACGGCTTTGTTGAGAGGGAGAAAGATGCCTGCGCCAGGAAGAGTCGTAGTAAAGTAGGAAACACTAGATGCAGTCAGGCGCGAATGTTATTGACAAACTGGTTGGGCGCAAACTTACCCTTCCACTTCGCCCGAGTTCTTGCCCCGCTGAGAGAACTCGGGATGCAGCTCGACACCAGCAAAAGTGCCCTTCTTTCCATCCACCGAACCAATAAAACGGACAGTGCCTAACATGTTGCCCGGGACTTCAACGACATCACCGAGAACGAAATCGGTCCCGGCCCTACCGGGCGTGGCGGGTGGCATTTTGCGATCGGGCGACTCGGCTAGCACGCTGTTGTAGGCATAGGACTCGCTTACATCGGGGATGGAGGCGAGAGACTTGGGAGTAAGAGCAGCCAAGGAGGATTTGCGCGGAAGCGATTGATGGGAGGGCGTAAGTCGCGAATGTGTGTTGTAGAGGGAATTAAGACTGGGAGAGGAAGCGGTTGTGGAGGAGGCGAAGTTGCTAGTGAAGCTGGTAGCTTTGCGAAGAGTTCGCGGCGGGTGGGCAAGACTTCTATGGGTCGGCGCGTATGCGGCGGTCGCTGTTGTTGTGGTGACGGACATGATGAACAGTCAGGTCGGGTCGATTTGGGTGTTTAAGGCCAGAGGGGTCCAGAAGATTATTGGGCGCGGGTGCTCGCGTACAGGGTGCCGGCCAGTAATGCGACCGCTAGATTGCGCACCGGATGGCAGCTTTACTGGCCTTGGCTCACTACTAGGCGGCGCAGGTAAGACCAGGTTCCAGGTTGTGGTGGTGGTGTTGATTCCCGAACGCCCCACTCGTCGCCCGCAAGGTAAGGTATCTTGGGGCCAACGTCAACTAAGGTTGCTTGCCTTAGTCGCAATTGCAGCTGAGCAGCGAATGAGAGGCGCGAGGCAGGCCGTGTTGGGCGATAGAACGGGAGGGTTAATTCGTAAATATCTGACAGCCTTGGGTGGGAAAGGCAAGCGCAAAGACGTGGCGGACAGGACAAATTTCGGTCGATTGGGCGGTAGGCGGTAAACTGGCAGATAGACAGGCGGACGCTATACCGAAAGAGCGCTAAGAGCTAAAGAACCGGGAGGTGTGATCGTCTCGGGGCCTTGGGCGTGTCTTTGACGTGGAGAATGATTTGTCTCTAACAGTCGTTGCGAGTTCGTCTTTCAATGAGCCTGACAGATCATCTGACAGCTCCGAACAGCTTGACCAGCGCCGACTGATACCAAGGGTTCCGTATGAGTCGCAGGGAGAGCGAAAGAGAGAGAGAGAGGCCCGGGCAAAGATACCAGGGCAGTCGGCAACGACGGCAACGATGAGAAGATGAAGGACAAAAGAAGCCCGACGCAAGCAAAAGAGTTAAAGTGGTCGCCAGACGAGGGGCTTTTTGTGACGCTCTGAGCCTCCTTTCCCCTTGTGAGCCCTTGTGAGAGAGCACGGCCGTCCTGACTCCTTGGGATGGGGTCTCAGACGTTGACCACTTTTTGGTTCAGCTCTTTGGGTAAGGATCCGTAGACCAGCGAGATGCAGGGGTGATGGATGTCAAGGGGAGCGGGAAATGGGTTGGTGATCCGTCAGTTGGAGTAGCGTTACCCTTGCGATGGGATCAGGTACCGTGACGGAGGTGTATGTGGTCGTTGGAAGGTGGTATTCTCGGGCGAATACTCAATACTCTGTCTGTAATTGAAGTGAGGACTGAAGTGAGGACTGAATAGAGGTAGGAGTCGCAAATTCGCAAATGAGGTGGGATGGCGGGATGGTGGGATGCAAAGAATGACAAGAGCAAGACACATACGCCGTGGCACACGGGCTGAGAAGAAAGAGGCGAGACAGACGGAAGACTGGAAGACGAATGATTGGGAAGGAGAGAGCTATATCTGGGTTGGGACGAGACAAAACGAGCAAGACTCAACTGTGTCTGCGTCTGCGTTGGTCTTCTTGGTTTTGGTCTCGTCAGGTCGGGCACATTCCACAGCTGTCTCTTTGTATCGCGGAGCAACAGCTCAGCTGCTTGTTTACGCGGATCCCGATTCAGTCCTTCACTGGACTGGACAGGCAGCTTCGTCTACCTTACCTTACCAGGTCTTGAAGCTTCATGAGGTGACGAGGTACCTAAAGGTAGGGGATCGAGTAGATGCCCGCCTGCAATTGGGCCATCAGCCTGCATCGCTCCTTCATCTTCCCCATCACACATCGTAGCGCGGCCGCAGATCTCACAAAAAAAGACCCTGGAACGTCGAGAAGGCACAAAAGGAGGCTCGTCAGTGGCCCCAGCTGCTCCCCATTCCCCTCGCGGTTGCCATGACGCTGTCGTAGCTTTGCGTCGTCCGAACCGGTGGCTGCTTAACGCTGCATGCAGACAGCGGAGTTGTATGTACAAGTAGACGCCCAGCCCAGTCCAGCAGGGGCAGTTTGACCGCCTACATGCACCTCAACGTGTTCGACGTCTGAAGAGTATCCGTACAGAACCTGTCTCTTCCTCACGCCGCCGTTGCTCGTTGCCATGCAGCGGGTGGTTCACCAGCAGAGCTGCTCACACCATGGGTGGGAAAATCTGCCTCCTCTCATCTTGATGGTGTGCTTCATCAAAATTTCTGCAGTCG